TGTCTCCCCACTATTCTTTTTTTTTTTCTCTTTTTTTTCTTTTTTTTTTTTTCCCTTTTTTTTTTTTTTTTTTTTTTTTTGGGCGTCGGCCTTCAGTTCAGTTGGTACACAGCCAGGAACTGTTGCAATACAGACCCCCAAGTTCGAATCCTTTCGTTTTTTAAAGGCTGCTACTGCAATACAGACCCAAGTGTCTTTTCTTTTTTGTTTTTTCTTGGTCTTTTCTTTTTTTTCTGATGACCAGAAATAATTCAAATAAATCATTCCAAACCTTCCGTTTTTCTTTCTTTACCCCCAAACTACGCCAATTACGCTTTTCAGCCCCCCCCCCAAGTTCGAGTCCGTACGCTTCGACAGTTGTCACGATTATTTTTTACCACCGAAAATAGAAAAAGAGATTTTTTTACCCGAAGCTTTGGCCGACTTGATTCTTTTACAACGCTCGCATGTCAACCTGCGCAAATTATGTTGGTCCCAAAAAAAAAAAAAAAAAAAAAAGGAGGTCCGCTTCAAGCAGTTTTGACATAATTACAGTATTTTTTATTTAACCGAAGCTCCCGCAGCTGTCATGTTTGTTTTTTTTTTTCGGACTTCTTTTTTTTTTTCCCAATGCATGTGGACTCGAGTCGCTCTACGTGTGATGCTAGGAGTCATGTCCATGCATGTGGTTCTCCTCTCCGCTACCCTCCCCCCCCCCCCCCCCCAAAGCATGAGGAGTTTTGTGGACTTGCGCCGCGCTACGTGTGACATTTAAACTATTCGGTACTAATCGCACAATTGGACCGCAACTGCTGTTCAGATTCCATGAGGCATTCAAAATAATAATAATAATATAATAGTAAAAATAATAATATAATAGTAATAATAATAATAATAATATAATCAGGGTTACCAGCCCGTACGTACGGAGGTCCCCGGGCAGACCTCCGTACGTACGGGCGTTCGGGTCCCGTACGGGGTCCGAACCCGACGGCGTTCGGCCCCCGCCAAAAATTATTTCGAGGCCTAAAAATAATTATTTTTTTCTGATTTTTTTTTTGTGAGTTCTCTATGACGTGAGGTACATGCCTGGAAATTTTCAAGTCATTTGGCTAAGCCCAATAAGAATTAAAAATCGTCAAAGATGGCGGTGTCAAAACGTGCTCGCCCACGTATTTTTTCACTTTTTACTTTTTGTTTTCACTTTAGTTCGGGGTCTAAACAATTTTATTATTTTTTGAAACGTTTTTAGTGGATTTTGTATTGTGTGAAGTACACAACTGTAAATTTTCAGGGCATTTAGCCATGCCCAAAAAAATGAAAAATCGCCAAAGATGGCGGTGTCGAAAACATGCTAGCGCACTCACTAAATTTAATTCTCTTTTTATTTATTTTTATTATTAGTATTTATTTTCCGTATTTTATTTTTATTTCAAATTTGGTAAGGAATTCGGATGTAATGCTCAGGCAAATATTGTTTCATTTATTTTTCTCCATAACATATCTTTTTTTCAGATTTTTTTGATGACTTTTTTTTTTTTTTTTTTGGGGGGGCGGGGTTTCCGCGTTCGGCCCGAACGGCCGAACGCGTCCCCAAGGGGTCCCATACGTTCGGGCGTTCGGATTCGGGCGTTCGGCCCGTCCCGAACGCCGGTTACCCTGAATATAATAATAATAATAATAATAATAATAATAATAATAATAATAATTTTGCAGCTCAAAGAAAGAAGGGGGAAATTAAAATTAAAAATAATAATAATAATTTCGCAACGAGTTTGACCCGAAATGTTTTCTTTGCGTCCTGTTGAGAAGGGCATGTGCACACAAAAAAACAAATCGACTGAATTTGGGCGAAGTTTAAGAGTTGCCGACATCAGTTCCCTGAGTGAACTTTATCCTCGCGAGAACGAACCCTAACTGCGGATCCCTGAGAGCACTTTATGAGCGCGAATTAAAATTAAAATTAAATTAAATTAAAAAAACACACTTGACGAGCAGAATTGGAATTGAATTCTTTTTTATTCAAGTTAGTTAATTGTAAGTTGTAAATAACATTTTTCAAGATTTTTTAAAAATAGGTACACATGCCTAAATTACCACACACTTGAATTCTTAATTCTCCCCATTTTTTTATTGTTTTCAATGATTTTGAATATTTATTTAATTACATACGTCTACTTAGGTATTAGGGTTTTCGACAAATTTCTGAGCGCAAAGAGAAACCCTACCTTGGCAAGCGCCGCCACACTTGTTGCAGAAAACAAGGGGGGAAAAAAGAAAAAAAACTCAGTACCCCACCGTGGTCTGGGCCCTTGTAGTCCTCATCAGACTCTGCCCGCTCGTGGACAAATACTATATTATAACCAACCAAAATCTATTTATGAGTCATCTTTCCCTCTTGTTATGAGAGATTCGAACGCCCTACCTCACGACAACCGCCATCGCCAATCATATTCTCGCTCGCCCATTCCTTGCCAGTCACTGCGCCGCCGAAACGATTCTCTCTCTCTCTCTCTCTCTCTCTCTCTCTCTCTCTGTCTCTCTACCTATTTATCTATCTCGTCGCGCGCGCGCTGGCGATTCATCTTCCTTCTTCTCCCATCCCCGCAACACGATTCTCTCTCTCTCTCTCTCTCTCTCATCAGGCGATACATCTTCTTCTCCCATCCCCGCAACATAAGAATCGAAGCTCGCGCGCTGGCAGAGATTCAATGTCTCAGCCAATAAGCGAACCCTAGCAGGATATACCATCCCTCCACCGCAAAGGAGTGCGAGATGTGGTAGTAGTATATCCTCTCTTCCCAGCGAATGCACACGAGCACATGAGGGGAGAGAGACACAGGGTGTAGGGGTAGTATCTCCTCCTAGGGTTCGCTTGTTGGCTAAGACATTGAATCTCTGCCAGCACGTTAGCAAACGTTGCCGGGTTGGGAGGATAAGAAAGCAATGTATCGCCCAATGAGAGAGAGAGACAATCTAGATTTCCTCATCAGATGATGATGAAAAGATCGTGCGCGTGCGCGCATGCGCGCGCGCGCGAGAGAGAGAGAGAGAGTCTAGTTCTCATCACCTGGACACAGTTCTCACCAACTCGCCGCAGGGATCGTCAGGATTTGTTTTTTGCATATTTTTTATGTTTTTTTTTTTCGCAAAATTCACATTTTCCCTCCGCCGCAGGGAAGCAGAGAAAAACTCCACATGAGGGATCCCCTGAATCTGGACGTGTTTTTAACCACACGAGGGATCGTCAGGATGTTCACTCCACACGATCAATCAATCAGTCAATGAATCAATTAGTATTACTGTCTACAACCGAATAGAATGCCCAGTGATTATATAACCGTATGTGGTGCAGCTTTCAGTCTCGATACAGTCACAGCGAGAACTGTATCTGGTGCAACTTTCAGTCTCTATACAATCACAGCAATAATGACCGCGAGCTTTCACATGATCAATCAATCAATCAATCAATCAATCAATCAATCAAGGACTCAATCAAGGACTCAAATTGCATTATTACCTGTCTACACCCGAATAGAATCTTGTACACATTTATCAGAAAAAAATAAAAAATCCTGTATATGGAGCAACTTTCAGTCTCCATACAGCAATAATGACCGGGCGTGTTTTATTCGGGTGAAGACGATAGCCGACTGACTTCTGAGATGAGAAAAGAAGATCCACCGCTCCTCACAGCACAGCAAATCTTTTTTTTTTTTTTTTTTCCCACACAGCAAATCTCGTTTTATTTTGTTCCCACAGCGTTCTATTCGGGATAAGGAGTGGGATAAGGATAACGAGTGGTGGATAAGGAGTGGGAAAAGGATAACGAGTGGTGGATAAGGAGTGGGGTAGAGATGGTTTTTCCGTGTACCCAAAAAAAAAAAAAAAAAAAGGATAACGATCGGATAAGCTGTAGAGATTGGTCGAGGTGTGTTGTTGTCGATGCAAGTAAGAGAGTTCTACGGCCTTTACAGAATGCATCTGACTGAAAGTAAGGCCAGATTCATTCCAAATTCAGCGTGTGAGCATATCGTCTCTCTCATAAGCTTCTCGCGGCCATCCAGCGATGATTAAGTAGGTCATTAAGCAGGTAATTAAGTAAGTAATTAAGTAGGTAATTAAGTAGGTAATTTAGCAGGCAATTAAGTGCGTAATTAAGTGCGTAATTAAGTGCGTACTTAAGTAATTAGAAAGGTAATTAAAACGGTACTTAAGAACGTGACTGAGTAGCTAATCACGAGTGTAATTAATTAATTAATTAATTAATTAGGAATCTAACGACAGAGATACCGAAGTAATTCATTAGTAAATTACTAACTCATTTTAATTGAGTACGTGGGCAAGTGAGCATGCCTAAGTAATTACTTGCGGAGGGAAATAAGAGAAAACCCTTCGACATAGAATTGCGATTAGGTTAAGAATTGCTCCCGTTTAAAATAAAAATAAGATAAAAAAGAGAACTCGAACCTGGTCCTAAAAACAGACCATGTTCACGGCAGAAGACGCACAAAACAACCTCGGTCACCAGGACACAACTGGACTGAATTCAACACCACTCGCTTCCTCAACCAAGAACGTCTCCCAACTCAAGATCTGTACTGCACGTTTCTTATCCCGAATTACGACCACATTCAGTCTAGGTAATCCCCCCGTGAGCAGCTGCAAATTCCCTCGACCCCATCAGCAGCTGCCGCTCCTACAATTCTTTCCCTTGCAAGTCTCTCAGACAATTACTCCCCTCCGTCTGTCTCTCAGTTCCTATAGCTTAGTCGCTTGCTTTCTCCCACCTCCCGCCTTTCAGCGCGTAGCTGCTTGCTTTCGAAATCACTAGAAGTTAATATACCTCACATACTTCAAAAAAAAAAGAAAAAAAAAAAAAAATCACATACATGGTGTATAGCGACTTACAGTAGTATTAAAGTTGAAAAAAAGTTAATACTAACTTCATAACAGCATATTCCAATTCTTTTTTTTTTGGAAACAAAAAAAAAAAAAGAGGAAAGGATTCCATGTCTCACCTTTCAGCGAAGAGACCGCACGCTTCTCTGACGATTCGCTCCTCCTGTCCACCTCCATGTTGACCCCCTCCCTCTCGATCAATCGCCCTTGGTATTAGAGTCCCCCCCCCCCCCCCCCCCCCCCCCCCCCCCCCCCCCCCCCCCCCCCCCCTCCCTCTCTCTCTCTCTCTCTCTCTCTCTCTCTCTCTCTCTCTCTCTCGCTCGCTCGCTCGCTCGCTCGCTCGCTCGCTCGCTCTCTAGCCGTTCCTGAGGGGGGATAAGGGACCACCTTCTTCTGCCCCTGTCCTTGCTTGAAAAGCCGACACAGTAAGATATGGGTGACCAACGAGTATGAACCACGTTTCCTTAACCTTTCCTCTCTGCTGAGAGACCGATTGATGATGATTGGTTCGGGCTCTTGATTAATTACTTCACATGGCCGATGTAACACCACCTACCTTGCTTTCCCTTTCCTACCCGTCTTTCCTTTCTTGTCTTTTCTGTTCTTTTCTGTTCTTTTCTTTTCCTTCCCTTGCTTTCCTTCCCGCCACTCCCGATCTGCTTCGCTGATTGTTCGCCGATTCTCTTTCGATTCAACGTTAAAACGATTTGTTTGATGATTATAGCGCCTTCATACGATTCAGTTTGATCGCGAGACAGACAGAATAGCTGACGCGGACGACACTTGGAATTGGAACTTCCATCGAACAACCGCGCGCTACGTACTGCCCTCCCTCCTGGTACCGGTAGAAAGACGCCGCACTACGCGCCAGATATGAAAAGTAGAAAAATAGAGAATGGTATGTATGTACTATGTAGAACGCGGAAGGATACACGCGCCATTCTTTTTGTCTTTTCACATTTGGATTGGAGAGTGGCGCGGCAAGGCTTTTGATGGTAATCCTTGGATTGTTCGGCTTTTGAGGCCTGTATGTAAGCAGATTTTATTTTTATTTTTTTGTTCAAGTTCCAGGGTTGCCGAGTATCAGGGCAGTGGTCCGGAATTGGCCAAGTTTTGGCCAATTTTGTTTGTCCCTACATACAACTCCCAACGCCTGCACCTACCAGTAGCGTGGGTAACGGTCCCCGTGCTTCATTTTCCGGGTTGTTCGCATTTCCGGGTTGTTCGCAGCCCTAAGGCTGCTGTGTCAAGGTGGCACATTTTCGACGACGGGGGACTGGCGCACAAGTGGGTTCAAACGGGGTGAAAGTTGTTGGGAGATCGTCGTAGGAACGCAGCCCTAAAGTAGCCAAATCAATGAGACTAAGAGCTAACACAAAAGAGAGAGAGAGAGAGAGAGAGAGAGAGAGAGAGAGAGTTTTGTTCCATTTATTGTTATGAGTGTGAGAGAGAAAGAAATAGAGAGAGAGGGAGGGGAGGGCCTACCAGAGAGAGAGAGAGAGAGGGAGGGAGAGAGAGAGAGAGTTTTGTTCCATTTATTGCTATGAGTGTGAGAGAGAGAAAGAAATAGAGAGAGAGGGAGGAGGGGGGCCTACCAGAGAGAGAGAGAGAGAGTTTTGTTCCGTTTGTTGATACGAGTGAGAGAGAGAAAGAGAGACAGAGAGAGAGAGAGAGAAAGAGAGAGACTGAATGGCAAAATTGAAATATGGGTCAAATTGCGGCCGCGATCTATTTTGCAGTTGGAATAATTTTTTATTTTTTTTTTAGCGTTTTTTCTGGAAAGATCACAACGAAATCTACGAGTACTCCAATTTTCAGGTTTTTTCACTCATTCTTCTGAGCGTGAAAACTCACTGAATTTGCAGCCCTTAGGCTGCGGTATAGTGGGCTTCGGCGTCTGTGTCAAGGTGTCGCATTTTTGGCGGCGGGCGACCAGGACGCAAGTGGGTTTTTCGGGGGCAAAAAAAATTGGGGGACCGGTCCTTGGCAAAATTGCGGACTACCTACAGCTAGCTCTGGTAGAACCGGGACTTTTGGAAAAACGAAGGACCGGTCCTCGGGTGGAAGTGGACCCCAAAAAGAAGTGGGGGCATTGGACCGGTCCTCGGGTAGAAGCGGACCCCAAAAAGAAGTGAGGGCATGTAATCTGCAAAAGGGCCCTCGGGCCCAGGCGTTGATCCCCGTCTTCTCAAAACATGGAGGTCAGGCACAACGAAACAAGCGTTTTGCAAGAGGCAACTTTGACAATTTTTTGTGCTCATACGAACATGCACAAAAATCTGAAATTTTGAGAATCCATAGATGAGGTCGTGTTCTTTCCAAAAATAATAATAGAACATTTACAAAAAATCATTTAGACTGCGAAATAATTGTCGCGCCGATTCAGCACATTTTCCATTTTTGCCACTCAGCCATGCCTGGGCCAACTAAAAAAGTACTCCAAATTCAGTGAGTTTTCGCGCTCAGAAGAATGCGTGAAAAAACATGAAAATTGGAGTACTCGTGAATTTTGTTGTGATCTTTCCAGGACAAACACTACATAAATTTTAAAAAATCATTCCAACTGCGAAATAGATTGCGGCCGCAATTTGACTCATATGTCAATTTTGCCATTCAATCTTTTTTTTTTTTTCTCTCTCTCTCTCTCTCTCTCTCTCTCTCTCT